TTTTTTTTTCATTTTTGCGATTTTTTAGTTTCAATATGAACCACGTGCACAGAAAAAATTGTTATGTCGACCACCATCAGTTAGATAAATTTAAAAAGCACCAAAACTTCTATTTTATATTTTTCTTTTATTTAGTTCAATAATTACCACTAAACACTTAAAAGATAAAGATAGTATTGAGTATATTTATCTAGTTAAGCTATTTTCAAATTAACGATAATATTTTTGTAACATTCTTTTGAAAATATATTCATTTAAAATAAGAGATCTGTTGCCAATATAAACTTAATTAAAGAATAATTAATACTCGTTTATATTTAGGCTCCGTTTTCTTACCCGTAATCAATAAATCGTAATGAAAATTTTGATTTCCTTTGTAGGTGTTTACCAAATTGTAGGAATGTAATCAAATGGTGGGACCTCAAACTTTGTAATCTCATTACTAAAAGGGGTGTAATATCACCTTCATCAATCTCATTCCTATTTATTATTCCGTGGACCCCTCATATATATTATAATTAATATATCTCTTTTACCCTTTCTCTCTCATCTTACATAATTTTTTATTAGTTTTTTTTATACTTTTATAATTTCTTTTCTATTTATATTCCAATTTTTATCCGTTGATGTGATTTTATTATATAATATAATAAATTAATATTAATTAATATCAATAAAATTTTTAAATAAATATTATTACTTTTAAATATTAGAATAATAAAATTTAATAATATGTTAKGGTAAAGTTTGATTGTTCTAATAAAAAAATATTTTATTAATATGTAATTTTATTTTAATTACTCATTATGTATTAATATTAAATAAATTRTTATAATAAAAAATATTATTTGTAATTAGTTATAAAGGAGAAAGGGGTATATTAGTAATTGTTATATATYTGATTTTGATTCCGATTTCAGACAGTTTTWGTAAACAGTATCAAAAAAATTCTAATTACGATTCTATAAAATTTCTAGTAATCAACATCGATGGAATAACATTACAATTTCGATCGATTTMCATTACGATTGCGAATATGTAAACGTGACCTTAAAAGATGATTAATTGGAATTGAAATAGATATTTTAATTTGGGAGTCTCATTTAATGAACATAAAGAAATGAATGGCCCACCATCTCGTAAAGAGGAGCCCGCAGTAAGGGGTAAGTCTGGTCAATCATTGTCCCATCAGGACAATGATTGTCCAGTAAATGGGCCCCATCCCTCCAACCGTAGGGATGAACCCGTTTCACATGAACATGTCTCCTTTTAGAGACCAATTTTTTAGGACAGCCTAAAAAAATAAGGATAAGCCCTCCAATTTCTAAATTTAAGATTTGCTTTGCTTTGTCCATAAGGGCGCCAAGGTCTTTTTCAAAAACATTGCCCTTGAAAGAGGGAAATAGTGCCAGTAGACATTATTGGTAGTAAGATGAGTAGTCCATGTAGATTATAGATCTTTTTTAGGTTCGCTATATTTTTATTGTAGGATATTTAATAGTGGAGGTTTGGATTAGGTGTGTTCATTGGTCTAACCGATACTGAAATCAACATTGGAATCGATGTGCTTTCCTTCGTACTTTTCTTAACCAATCAACCAGTTGGTCAATTTCTGTTGAAACCAGTATATTTTTCTTTTTTACTTGTTTTTGAAATAGAAAGAGATAGAGCGATTATATCGATGCGTGAGAGAAAGTTCAGAGAGAGAGAGAGAGAGAGAGAGAGAGAGAGAGAGAGAGAGAGAGAGAGAGAGAGGATGTATAGAGAGAACTCATAGAGGTGAGAGAGCTCAAAGAGGTAAGAGAGGCGGGAGTTTGGAGATCTGAGATACTTGAGAGAAGCAAGATCTAAGGTAGACATCGTCGAGAGAGCTGAGGAGAGAGACGAGAGACTAAGAGCGAGAGATGGAGACACGGGTGGCCAAAATAAAGGAATAAAATAACAATTAAACCCCAAAAACTAAAAATTAAAATGCATCTAGTCTATAGTCATATGCAATGCATTGCATATATTTTTTCTATAGTAATTTTAGTCATTTGGTCGATTTTCATTAGCTCTAGACAGATAAACCGACCACCCACTGTTGAGAGTCTAAAACCAATAGATCGACTTCAGTTTGGTCGGCTCAATTTTTTCGACAATCTTTGTGCACCTGATAACTTCCAAACCTTTTAATTATAATATATACTTTAACCAGTTAAATTATGTTCAAATTGACAAATAGTCGTTTTTTTTAAAAATTACTTTAGTTAAATAAAAGTGCCACAATGGGCAGGTAAAATTACAAATCTCTTCAATGGATGCATTAAGGAGCTAGGTTGGGAAACTCAGCGTCCATTTGGTAACGTTTCCGTTTCTTGTTTCTCGTTTCCAATTTTCTTAAAGAAATATAAGTATTTTACAACTAACTTTGTTTCTTGTTTCTCAGTTTTTTAAAACATTCTCACAATTGTATAGAAATTTTGGGAACAATCAAAATAAATTTCTCTTTTTTGGTTCCCATTTCCAATTTACTTTAAAACATAAATAAAAACATYGTTTTATCATATTTGAATTCTTGGAGGTTGAAACCATGCAAAACATTTTTTTTCGTTAAAAATAAAAAAACAGAAACAAAAAACAAGAAATAGAAACGTTACCAAACGAACCTTGAAAAACCCATAAAAAGTTTGGCACAGATATATAATAGTTGCAGATGAAGCAAGACCATGAGAAAGTGTTAAAGTTTCTTCTCATATGCCCATAAGCAGAGAAATTTTTAGAGAGCTTGCGAATATATCCTCAACCTAGACGTCGTAATTGTGGATAATTTTGACACGCTGAAACTAGGGTTGATTGCTTGTAGAGAGAATCAGGTTTGTTGCAATCACAAACACGCGTTTGAAATTTAGACGTGTTAGTCTTATTCCCTCAAGGAATACCTCCATTTGCCTATCATAGGGGCAAATAATTACGTTGTCCGTATTTGTTAACATTGAATTATTGTTGTATTGACGTATTTAGATATATATTGTTGTATTGACGTATTTAGATATATATGTCAGTCAAACATTACATTGACCCGTGAAACTCAATTCATCTATTAATAAAATCTATTTCTTTTTGGTAGCTTGTCAAAATAATTTATGACGTATCAACTTTTTTTTTTGTTTTTTTTTTAATGTTGACGAGAGAACTTAATCAAAAACTGAAATAACCGAATTAATGAAAAACAAAGTTAAATTTCAGATTTTTTATATTTCTGAATAAGTATTTTGTCGTTGATTTAGGATAAAATAAACATATAAATATTATTTTCAAATCTTTCCCTTTAATTTTAGAATCTAAATATATATAATCTAAACTTAATTATCTCAACTGTAATTAGCCACCGAGAGATCATTTGTAAAATTTAATTACGATGCCAAATAGACCAACTATTTTTTATAGAAAAATTACTTTATATAATTGATTTAACTTATACTTCCATAAATTTTAAACTTCAAAAAGAGAATTTTGGGAGAAAATTAAATAAATTTGATTTTGTGAATGATCTCATTTAGTTTACTCAACGATGTTTACACCATTTTTAATGAGACATTTGAGTTATGTCACGTCTTACTCACGTCTTTTACCTTTTTTCATGTGATGTCACGTCCTACTCACATCTTGTACCTTTTTTTTTTCATTTCTACATGACATTTTAAATTCAAATTCAAGTAATTTAAGTGACATTTATAATATACTTTGTATTTAGTAAAACATAGTTGTTAGATTAGAGTTTAAATAATTTAAATGTTTTAAATTTTACTTCGTCATTCAGTTTTGAAGATTATTTCATTCATAAAATGAAACCCAAACTTCCAGATTTCTTAATTTGAATCTCTGATTTGAATCCTATTAAATTTCCTTCTAAATATGTGCTCAAGTATTCTCCTATTTCATGTCCTTTTTGTTGCAATTAATGAAGAAACATTGAATATGATAAAAAAATCTACCACTTTTGTTACCTATCCTAAATGCCATTTTCCTTTTATTGGACAACAAAATACTTTGTATGACATTCATATAATCTACCTTTTTGCATGTATTTCAAAGTCTTCCAATATGAAAATGAAACATATTCTTTAAACTAAGATTTAAATGATTTAGGTTTCATCTTCATCTGATTATTTCATTCATTCGGGACCTAATTCTCAATACTCATTTCAAATTTTAAATTTGTTCAATATTAATTCCTAATTTTAATCTCTATTTTTCAAAATGTTTTATTCTAATATTCAAAATAAAATCTAAAAAATACCAGGGTTAAGTTATTCTTGATTTTTTCAGAATGCTATCCCGACTTTTAATCTATCCTTCTATTTTAATTTTAAAAAATAATCATTTCAGTTCATACTTCTATTTCAATCTAAAAAAATTCAAAGCACATAGGGTTAAAACCGAATATTATGTATTTTCTAAGCAAATTTTTGGTGGAATTGGAAAAGTAAACTAAGACCACAGCATATAGATTTGAAACCAAATTTTAATTAAGTGGAAAAATAATCAAACTAAAGTAGAACCACTAAGTTAAAAAGGAGTAACAAAATCATCACTTTTTAATAACCAAAATGAACCACATTTTAAAAGTAACCAAAATAGAATTTTTTTTAATCAACCAAAATAGAAATACCAATACCGAGACTAAAATAATATCTTAACTTAAAATAAAATATTAATCAACCAAAATAGAAATACTGAGACTAAAATAATATCTTAACTTAAAATAAAATAACTTCTTATAAAGATGGAAATTCGAAGGAAAAAATAAATGACCCAAGGAAAATATAACACAATTCTTTTTGCTCGTTAAATCCCAAAATTTAAACGAAAACAACTCTTTAGAAAAAAGAAAATTCAACAAAATTAGCCAACCATTCTACAAAGAAAATCCAAAATTGTTTTGCTTCAAATTTTTCTATACGTTGAGAGACAAAAACTAAAAAACAACATATATATATATATATATATATATATATACAATTAGAAATAAAAACGAACAAGTTAGTTAAGAAACGAAATTTGAACTTCGAACTTTCAAGAACTTTCAAGACGTTAACTGATCACGTGTTCCTTGTCCCGACGTTAACTGATCACGTATTCCTTGTCCCGTCATACACCGTTGAACAAGCTGCTTAAAACTCTTCTTAGGTTTCTTCTTCTTATTCTTCTCGGAAACCATCAACGTCTCTCTCTCCCTCTCTATCTCTCCCTCTAGTTGCAAACAAAGCTGTTCAACATTCATACAAGGAAAATGACGGATATAGTTATCAAAATCACTTCTCTCCTGATCCCTACTTATATAAATGAAATAAATTATGAATAATTCTCAAATGTGCGCTAAAATTCTCGATTGAATTTAGGTTTTATTTTTTTTAATTTCTATATTTTAGAATAACCATTATTTAATCTATCATAAACTTTAATATATAAAAATATAACAATTTATAAAAATATAACAATTTAATTTTTCCTTTTTGAAAGATCAATTCGATTTTTATTCAACTTTTATTAAAGTCACAATTTAATCCCAATACTTTTTAATAGATTAATAACAATTTAGTCAATCTTAACATATAAGAATTTAACCACCATAATTTAAATTTTATAATAATTTAATTAAAACAAATAAATGAATTGATAGAAGACTAATTATTATATAATAAAACACTATAATTTTTTTTATAATAGAAACTAAATTTTACTAAATTTATTTTATTTTACTAAATTATTATACTTCCACGACTTCCACGATAGTATACATACTGTCGTATATATTATGATATGATAGTAATAATAAATCTTAATTAATTAATATATATATATTATATTATTTAAAAAAGTTATCCATTGTTTTATTATAGATAATTTTTTTTATAATAGAAACTAAATACCATAGTATATATTATGATATGATAGTAATAATAAATCTTAATTAATTAATATATATATATATATATATTATTTAAAAAATTATCCATTGTTTTATTATAGATAATTTTTTTATAATAGAAACTAAATACCATAGTATATATACTGTCATATATATTATGATATGATAGTAATAATAAATCTTAATTAATTAATATATATATTATATTATTTAAAAAATTACATGTTACATTACTATATAACTTATAATAATTCTTTAATTAAAAAAAAAAGGAAACGCACCTATTACAGAAAAGTGTATATCTATACAAGTTTATATATTTTAAATATAATTCTACATTTTTAAAATTTCATTTATTTTGTTTTTTTTAATTTCTACTATCAATCACAAAATTCGAAAACCAAATGCAAAAATAAATCTTCTAAACAAATATTAAAAAACATTAAATTCAATAACTCCGAAAACATTTTGGTTCAATAACTGTGAAAACAAGAAACCAAATACCAATTAGATACCATTTTTGAAACCCAAGGAAAAGCTACATATTATTTTATTTGAATTCGAATATTGATAAATCTTTATTAAATAAGTTTAGAATCAAATGATATATTATTATTTTTACCTTGAGGACTCGATCCTCTATGTTATCCATTCTCTGGACGAGGCTTCCTTTGACTTCGGTGATTTTGATGACGTTGCTGATCGGACGGCAGTGCTTCTCCAGGCTCTTGGGCGACAGATCAACGGACGAGGTGTGGTAATCGCTCGTAAGGGTCCCACTTGATGGAGTGGACCCACACGAGCTTTTCGGAGACTTTCCGCACCCTCTAATTTCCTCCAACCGCCTCAACTATTATTATAAATAATATCTCAATTATTTATTATTTAACCAAAAAAAAAATCATTATAACATATAGCCTTAAAATTCATCAAATTAATTAATTAAGACATATATCCAATTAATTAAAACGTCTGTAGCACAAAATTAACCGTGGTTAAGACACTTTTACTACCCTCTAAAAAATCGAAGGTTATATTATTTTAATTATACTTAAATTATACCATTAACAAAAATTAAAAGTGTCGTCCTTACCTCCTAAAAATTAAAAATTTAAATACTTGCTCCTATAGCTTTTATTGAATAAGAAAAATTATAATAACCTTATTTCCGATTTTATGTTCTTGAAAACTAAACTTCTAAGTTTCTAACCACTACTTCTACTGCATATTATTTGTTTTGCTATTTTAATTTTTGAAACTTATTTCAAGATCTAAACTAAAAAAGAAAAAGCAGTTCGCAAATATATATATATATAATTTGACTTTGAACTCAAATATAAAGCATAATTTTCAAAAACTAAAAATAAAAAAATAAAAAACTGGACGATAAACGACCTATGATGGCTTCAAGTCATATAATAATATAAAAATTACAAAATTAGTGGCGATGATCGTCAATGGAAACCCAAGTCCCAATTTCATTTCTTCTACATAACTTTCGCAATAAATTTTCAAATAATACAAAAAGAAAAAAAAAACCACAATAATTCATTAGTTTGGAAGAAGAACAAAAAAATAAATAAATAAATAGGAAGAAAACATCAACGTCAAAATTACAAAGCAACAACAAAAAAAAAACGAGACAGCCCATGCACCAAAAGCCACAATTCAATCCTAAGTCCCACCAACCCTTCTAATTTTCCCAGTCATTTTCCCGNTAAATATCACTTCCCCCCTTACTAGACAACAAAATACTCCAAAAAAGTAAAATTAACAAATAAAAAAAAATTCCATTTTCCACCCGAAAAAAACTCACAATATTATCCAACCGGTCCAGCCGCGAGAGAATCGGTTCCTCAGCGACAGCCATAATTTTTATTTTCTTTTTCTTTCCCGAGAAACAAACAGAAAATCGAGAAATTCCTTCAAAAAGGAAATGAATAAAAGCAATCCGGTGGTTGAATTCGTATCATTCCTTTTAAATACAAAAGGCTAAACGGGGGGATACGTAGAGCAACACGTGTCGGAAACCTACGGGAGATGTCGGCTGTCAAATGGAGCGACGTGTCGAACTCAGTTGAGGGAAATAGGGATTGGGTGCGGACACGCGTTCGTTTGGAAACATGCAGAGAATGAGGGACGGCCACGTGGGAGGTCACGTGGGTGCGTAAAATTTAATGTCACGGATAGGTGATGTATAGCGTGACGACCGACGGGAAGGGAACATTGTCCTCTCCTCTCACAGACACAGTACAAGATAATACGAAAGGAAGATGACGATTTTAAGGAGGGGAGGGATTGGCTGCGGGCGGGCTTAGAGTATTCGAGAATGTGAATCAAACTCTGCCGGTTATTTTGTACGCTCGAGATTTGATCAGATGTGTGTCAGAGATTTATATTTGACTTTTGAGGGATTGGTGGGTGCCCTTCCTATCTCTTCTGTTTGTTTTTACATTAAATTACAAATCCGTCCCATATCTCGCTAAATATTTAATTCTTTAATTTGGAAAAAAAAAATTACATTCCTAGATTTTAAATCTTTATTTATTTGTTATAATTCAATAATTTGAAAATGAGGTATGAAAAATGAATTAGAACGTACTATTAATGTGATATCTAGGATTGAGTATTTGTCGGTCGGGGTCAACTATCGAAAACTGACACCATCAATTTTCAAATTTGGAAATCGACGATTTACCTATAGAGAAGCAAGATTGATGAACAGTCTTAAACTTTTAAATTTTCTATTTCTATTGATTAATTGGAAGTCTAAAACTTGACCTTGTAACTACTCTCTTATAAATTGTAGAATCTAATCTCTATGGTTTAAAATTTAATGCTAAAAAAGGGTGACCGATTTTTTGTTTGAAAATTTAGGAAGAAAAAAAATGCATTTAAAAATTGAGATGTAATTTAAAAAGTTTACCTGGTACAAGCTCAATATTCAAATTTACAACCGAAGTGTCAATGTAATTTTAAAAGTTTATAATAAATCTTCGAAATTATGAACCCATTAGATATCTACCATTAATTCTGTCCATTAAACCTTTACGCCACCAAATATTTAAACCTATCTAAGATAAAATATTTGCATAATATAAGTAATTCAATAAGCATCCTACTTGGCAATAAAGTAATGAAGTTAATCTAGAGACCTATTTGATAAAGTAAAAGACTTAGGGTCTGTCTGGTTGAAAACTCGGATTTTGTTTTATTTTTTGTTTCTAGATTCAGCGATTCAACAAATATGCGTTTGTCAGTATTTTAGAGATTCGTTTTTGAAAAATGTTTTGGATTTTGTGATCCAAACAGTAGAAATTTTGAAAACGTCTTTTTTATGTTTTCAGTATTTTCAGATTTAGAATTTGAAATTTTTAAGATGCAAATTTACATTAAAAAAAGATAAAAACTTTGATAAAATATATTACTTCATATTATAAATTTATTTTATGTTTGTTAAAATTAAAACATGTAAAATATAATGTATTCTAAATTATATAACCTTATAAAATAATAATTATACAAAATTCATAAAAAATATCAATAAATTAATTAATATAAATTTAGATTAAACTAAAATTTAGTTTGTGACTATCTCTTGTTTACAAATATATTACTAAACACACGAATAATTTTTTAAATTGAGATTCAATTACCAAATCTGTTACCAAACATATATCTAAAAATACTAAAAACAAAGAATACAATTCTGATTTTCGTTCAATCTCTTATTTTCAAATTTCTGTGTTCTGATTACTCACCAAACGCACCCTTAACAATATATTAGAAATTTATCAACTTATTAAAGTACGCATAAATTTAAAAGTTCAATAGCAGAGAGATCAACCGTACCTATAAAAGGGATTTTGTCAATGGGCTGAAACGGTTTTCTTAATGGGCCATAAGCCCACTAAAATGGCGGGATGGACAGGCCCATTCTCCGTCCCCAAATGGAGCCCTAAAATAGCCGAGGCACGAGGTACCAGTAGCGGCTTTTATCCTTTCCAACTCCGCCGATTCCGACCATACCCAGAGGCATCTCCGATGGAGTCCCGGTGACGAAAAGTTTAGTAATCTGAAAAAATTTGGAGGATGGAGCTTGGTGCTCCCGATGCTTATGGCAGAGGTCGAGGAACCAGGTCTTCCATGCAAATCCAGGTAGATTCTAGGCATTCTGAGGGATTTCTCTTTCGTTCCCATTTCCAATTCCTTATTGTTTTCTGTTACATCTCTTTCGAAATCGTCTGTGTTCTTTCCTTTTTCGTTTCGCCTAACCTGAATTAGGGAGGAAGCCAAATTGAATTTGAAATTTGATTTCCGTCGACGGGGATTATTCTTTGCTTTCCAGCGATCGTTCGTCGGTTGTGAATCGGAGCTTTCATAAATCTCGACTCTCTCACAGGGATTTGTCTCCTTGGGGATCAAACGACTTGTCGCCCTAGCGTTTAGGGTTTGAAGGGGTAGTTTCTGAAAAATATTGCAACTTTAGGATGATTTTACAACCAGCATTTTTTTTTTGTATAATTATAATTTTATTGATAAGTTTTTCACTTCTTTCTCTTACAAATACATTTAATTTTTTAAAAATAAAAACAAGTTTTTGAATTTATCTTTTTATTTTTTAAATTTAGCATAGGTTTTTAAATTGTTATCAAAATTATATAACAAAACAATCATAATATTTCTAAGTTTAATTTTTTAAAACTTAAAATAAGAAACGAAATAATTATCCCACTAATAATTTTCAATGAAAATGGACCCAAGAATAATTTTGCAAAATTTATAAATTTCAATAATAAAAAAAGTCAGTGTCTTTTTCTAATATTTTTTGAGTGCACATGAAAATAATATTTTCCCTTTGCCAAAAAAAGAAAGAAAATAATATTTTCAAGGATTACTCGAACAATAATATAATAAAAATATATAAATTGCAATATTTGTGCAACACATATTTAAATTTAATTAATTTAAAATACATTTTGAGGAGATTAAAAGTGCGGAATAAAAATTGATGTATTTTCCAAGTTTTTTTTTCGGGTAAAAATTGATTTTTTTTCCTTCATGTTTTTATTTCATAAATTAGTTAAATTTTAGGGTCATTGAAGTTATTTATTATTATTTTTTTAAGACAAGTGTTCCTTGCTTTTGGTTTTCTGCTTTTGCATTTTACTCGCCAATACAAAGTTTTATTTTAGTGTATTATCATAAAATAAGACATACTACTTTAAAATATTAAAATAGAAAATATAGAAATATTTCTCAACCCAATGATGTAAATTGATATAGAATAATTCCTTAAAAAATATCATACTAAAAAATTAGATTATGAAGAGATGGATAACCAATAAATTGTTAGTGGTATTTGGGATGTAACTATTTCTGATTGGCTTGATACTTTGGTCAAGCATGTTCGATTGCTTTCTTTTGTTTAAAAAAAAATAAACAATCTATTGTTAATATTTTGGTCATACAACATTAAAAGCATATCAATAAAAATCAATTCTTTGGAGTTTATTTTTAATAATTATTTTATAAAATTTTGATAAAAACAATATGTAAAATTCATCATCATATTCCTGATTAAAAATATTTTCTAAATCAAAATGATCAATATCTTCATTTTACACTAAAACATTTAAGAATTAAATTATATTTAGGTCTATATACAAGATCTTAGTAGGTCTAATATTATCATTTTAGTCTCTATATTTTTTAAAGTAGGTATTTTAATCCATGCAAAATCATAACATAAATTTTATACACAAATAAGTTAGGATATTCTATATAAAAAAAAGTTAGGACAACATTTTAAAAATTTGTGATCTGAAAATGAGATAAAAAAGAAAATAAAGTTATAAAAATGATCACTTTTAAAATAAATAAATTAAATTATATGAAATTTGAATATATAGGACTAATTAAAAACTAACAGTACATAAATCAAAGTCCAAATATCTAGACTTATATTATAATGAATTTGTATATATAACTTTTAAAAGTCAAAGCCATTGTTGTGAGGCATAGATTCACACGAGTTCATTTTCTATTTAAAATTATTTTAAGCAAATTCCATCGTCAAGAGAAAACATCATCAGACCTTGACACTTGGTCCAATCGCTTGGAAACACATGTACATGCGTTGGTTGGGACAAATAGGGAGGCTAGGTGAATCAAGCGAAAGTCCAATTAGACGCCAACGTGGACGAATGGATACCATCAGTGTAAAATTTACTTGACTGTCAGGTATGGAGTAGTGAAAATGGCGGAACAACGCTTTCCAAAGTTCCATTATAAAAGGTGGGATCAAAGCTCGGTTCGACACGTACTCAAACTAAGCATTAACTTAAGTTTCAAAGTGTATGTGACACAAAGCCACGCTGGCATAATGTTTGATTAACTAGATGTCCACTTCATATCTAATATTGACTAATCACCTCGTCTAGAATCTTACATCAACAAAGTCAATATATGCCAATATGATTCTTGTTCAGTAGTTAAGATATCTTTACTTCTTCTCATAATTTTTTTTAACATTACTCTCTCTATAAATTTATAGGTTGAAATTATCGCATCATATTTATTATACACTATGTTTTTAAAAAAAAATGGGAAGGGAACACTTTTCTTAATTATGTTTACGAGAGGAATGATTAGGGTAATTACTAAGTGCAAATAATTAACGAAACATGATAGAAAAAGTCAATATTTGAGGTTGAAAATAGACACCACGTTTCCAATGCTCCAAATTTACTCCGCAAGAGGTGGTTGAGAATGTTAGGTTTTGATTTTTTGAATAAAACAGACATTATTCAACCCCGTACCCTTCCTTAAATTTATTTTTCATGTTATCCTTCATCAACTCCTCCTTCCATTGGAACTAAAATAAAAAATAAAATAAAAAATCGACACGAACATAATTTAATTGGTCAAGATATTCCTTACGTCTTTTCTTTAGAGGTCCGAGGAAAAAAAAAAGAATTAGAGTTGGAGATGCACTTTCTACTCTTTTATGTTATGGAATTTAAATTGTTTCAAAATGTCAATTTTATATATATCCACACACTCAATACTTGTCTTATTCTACTTATGTGGCTATAGTACACGTTTATGTCATCATGTTAATACACACATTCGAAGTAATGTTATCCATTTGTTAAAAGCAAAAAATTAAGATAATAACCAACTTCTTTAAAGTTTAGGGATCGAGGTAGACATCGAGAAGGACATGTTGAACATTTATAGGCCAAATTGAACATTTTAAAAATTTAGGGACTAAAATAGAAACATCTTCAAAGTTTATGATATCTCTTTAGAGTAAATCTTTTGTAAGGTAGATTGTGTCATCTCATTGGTGGAGTTATTACTATTATATTTTCTTAACAATCACGTGTCAATAATAAGAAATTGCATACATCTCCGAATAAATATTATAAAGTATTCAAATATCATCTAATATTTAAATATCGAAAGAATATACCTCTTTGAAAAAGTTTGACAATTGATAATTAAATATATTTTGAACATTACCAAATAAAAATTGATGATGATGATTTTGATGGTTAATGGAAAAGGCCTCAACTTTGACAAACTAAAAAAAAAATTAAAAAAATTTCCTAAGTGGGCAAAAAAGCCAATGCCACAATGGAAAAAAAGAATATCCACTTTCAAATTGCCACTTCAAAACCTTACAGACCAAAACCCTCTAATTCTCTTACCCTTTTTTCTTTTTAATTCTAAATGGATTCTAACTTCTAAGTGCTATCTTTCCTACCTCACTTTTACCAAACAAAGCCTTAATTCTCTTCCTTTTTGGCACCATCACAACTCTTGCCTACTTTGGTTGACCTAGAAGGGCAAGTTTGTTGGAATTAGAATAGAATTGGTTGACATTTTCATAAATTGAGGGGTTGAATTTTGATTCATGGGTTTGATTCATATTTTCAAAATACCAAAACATAACATGATGTGTAGAAAGCACCGGAAGAGTTTGATGGAGTTTGATATAATCAGATTACAGACAAGTCTAGAACAAACTAGCTAAATTGACATACAAATCATTCAAAGATATTATATCTAGAGTTCGAGTATACTTCAAAAATATTCAACTATTATTATATGTCAATTAAACGATCACTCATATATTAAAAAGAGAGATTAAGAGGGATGAGGTTGTTTTGATAACACCTACTCGATAGGATCTTAAAATGGTTTAGGATCTTAATTAAAATGGTTTCAACAAGGTAACGAAATAAACTTATTTACCCATTTATACTAGATCCAAGATTTCTTGCCCTATTTCATGTCATTTCTTACCCAAAATATCATCACTAAAGATATTTGTCTACTTATCAGGAAGTAGGAGCTCCTGCTCATTTTCGTCTAGAGTTTATTTATATTATATTTAATAAATAAGTAAATCTCCCTAATATTTTACTCGTGGGATGAATTAATAGAAATGGTATAAGTGCTATTATTTTGGGACAACGATGATTATGTAGAAAAAAAACGTGCATGAGGTAGTTTTTTTTAGTAAAACATGTGTCTTGAGCTAATTAAACACGTCTTGTTAATGGAAATCTGTACAGAAAAAAAACTGAAGTCCTCGTGGACCGAAAATGGTGGGAATTAAGAGTCTGGCAAAGGAGCAATATGGCTTTCAGTTAAGCAAAAACCCAACTGAGTTTTTCTTCAATGCATCTGTATGAACATCAACGGTTTCTGGCTGCCTAATTTTATTTCCTGTGGTGCTTTCAAAGTCAAAAACATCTCTCTCAAGGCATTATTCGAGGGGTTGTAACAACGTGGCTAACAATTCTATATCGTTGGAGCTGTATTTTGAACCCGTAGCCAACGGTTATTAGTGACAGTCAAAAGATTGGTCTCAATTCTCCCTATATATACTGTCTACCAAAAGACAAAGCAATTTGTCCAATTTGTGTTTCCTTAGAAAGTGAAGCGTAAATTGAAACATAAGGAGAATGCATAAACCAAGCCATTTTCTCATCCTTTTCATAGCATTTCCCATGTTTTCTCTCTGTTTTGGCACTCACCATGAGGATCCACTTCCTGTTTCTCAATATCATGATCAAGTTTATGGCTTTAGAAGCTTTAGACCCGGATGGAGCACTGATTTTCACGGCTTGATGACGACGAGGCGAGATAGAGGAAGCTCGCGTTCGGGGTCGCCAAAGGTGGTGAATGTGGATGATTTTGGAGCTAAGGGCAATGGGCAAGACGACAGTAAGGTATACTAGATCCCGTTAAACTGAGTATTAGAGCTTTACTCTTGAATTATGCTCATGACTAACTCTCTAATCTCCGGGAGGCGTCCTAACCAGCTCCCGGAGACAAACTACTGAAGATTCTAGTAGCGAGGAACTTTTTTTTTCTCTTTTTTTTTTTTTTGGTTTAGAGAGCATAATTACTCACGATTGTCATGAATGTATATGTTTTAGGCATTTGAGCTAGCTTGGAAGGAGGCCTGTTCTTCTAGCAAGGCAATTCTTTTGGTTCCTAAAGGCAGAACATATTATCTTAAGCCAATCACTTTTTCAGGTCCTTGTAGATCTCCTTTAACACTAAAGGTGAGAGTCTAAGCATGTTACACTGTGCTGTTTTCCATGACATGTTTTGGAAAACTTTTGAGCTCATTTCTTCTCATTGCAAGATCAATGGAATGATCAAAGCTTCTCCGAGACTGTCGGATTACGTCAACAATCGGCGACATTGGCTTAAATTTGAAGGAGTTAGTAACTTTGTTGTAGAAGGCAATGGTGATGGCATCATCAATGGGAACGGCAGAAAATGGTGGCTGAGCTCTTGCAAAGTGAACAAATTCCTTGTAAACATGTCATCTTTAAACAACTTCATTATATGAGCCTCATTTCCTTGATAAACCGTAGGATGATGATTGTTTAATTTCTCTTGGAATTGTTCTGCAGCCTTGCAGGGAAGCACCGACGGTTCGTTGCTATCCTTCCGATCTTCGAAATCGTCTTCTTTTAAAGTCGTGTAACTGAAAACGTCGAGTTGAGCTTTTCCATGAGTTCTGATTTCTTTCTTCCTGTGCAGGCTGTAACTTTCTACCAATGCACCAACTTGGTTGTGGCTAACCTGATGTTCAAAAATGCACAAAAGATGCATCTCTCATTTCAGAAATGCATCAATGTCAAAGCTTTGAATCTCCGGGTCGTCGCCCCGGGAAACAGCCCCAACACAGATGGAATTCACGTCACGGAAACACAAGATGTTATGATAAGAAACTGTGTCATTGGAACAGGTACACCAACAAAGGGGAAAAATTAAATTTTTTTTTATGAGAAACCAAGCTTTCACGAAAAGGAATGAAAAGATATACAAGGACATACCCAAAAAACAGTCTAATAAGAGGGAATGCCCAAGAGAAAGGAGCTCCCATCTAAATGAATAACGCCTAATTGATAATTACAAAACGCCTTAGAAACCAACCCATAGAGGAGTATTAAATCTAATGAGATCCCAAACATACTCTGTAAATTTCTCCACCCGTAAAAGTTCTATTGTTTCTCTCAGGTCAAATACCCTACAAAGTAGCCAACCTAGACTTAGCTCAACTGTCTAAGACACCCATTTTCGATTAAAAGTTCGTTAGTTCATATCTATACCACAAAGTAGCCAAGAAACGGGCCTGCCACGGAAAATGAAACAACTTTCAAACTTCCTCTACTAAAGGGTTGGTCTAAGAATCTGTGTTTTATTTTTTCCTCAAAGGGGATGACTGTATTTCAATTGTAAGTGGGTCAAGAAATGTTCAAGCCATGGATATCAGTTGTGGGCCAGGCCATGGAATCAGGTCTTCTTCTTCTACTGAATCTTCCAAACTTCAACTTCAACTTTTTTTTAATGTTTTGATCTGATCTCTTCTTTCCATTTCAGCATTGGAAGTTTAGGAAAAGGAAACACAGAAGCTGAAGTTTCAAATATAAGAGTAAACAGAGCAATGATTTCAGGGACCAGCAATGGAGTGAGAATAAAGACTTGGCAGGTATGCCCAAAGAGTAGAAATTCTCTTGAATTTTGAATCAATTTTCTCAAGTTTAAGCTGCTCTAATGGAACTTGTTCCTCACTTCTTGACTTCTCTGCATTTGACACACAAAAATTGGCCAAATATTTCCCAACCTACTTTTGACCTACAAAACTTCCGCTTCTAAAATCGACAGGTTTTTTTTGTAATGTTTTTGTTTCTTATTTCTTCTTTCTCATTTTTTTCTCATTTTTCTTTCTTGTTTCCTCTTTTTCAACGGATAGAAACTGAAGTTCCTTTGATAATTGTTTTTGGTTTCTTGTTGTTTCTTTTTATTGTTTATGGTCTCTTGTTCTTTTTTTTATTGAAAAAAAAAACATGTTTGTTAATATATTTTTTTTCTCTAAAATTTTAAATTAAAAAAGTACATCTTTTATATATTAAATTTATTTTTATCTTATATTTATTTTTAAATATTTATTATCATTTTATAAATTCTAAAATAATGCTTCTATTTATATTTTGAAAAAACTAAAACAGAAATAGAAAACAATTTTTTTTTTCCAAAACTTCTACATAATTTTGGAAACATTTCTTGAAAATAGAAACAAATTACCAAACGTTTATACTTCTCAAAAACTAGAAATGAGGAACAAGAAATAAAAAAAGAGAACGTTACGAAGCAGCCCGTACAATACCCAATTCCCCCGTCTTTCTTCTTCACCCTCAGCCAATAGCAGTTCATGGAAATGGTGCCCTTTTGACTCCTATGGAGTAGTTGGCTGTGTTTCTTTTTCCTAATCTTCTCAAAATTTCTGCTAAATATGCTAAACATTATGCTAACTAAACTTTCTCAGTGAATTATTAATCATTAAAACTAGAGTAATTCTAGCTTTTCCTATCTCCACTTTGAAAGTTGATAGTGATTTGCATACAAATGACAGTTTATGTGGTGTCACTGATGGGTCCATTAGTTGTTTAGTGGGGGTAGTTGAATGGTATTTGACAATTCATGTGCATAAGTTGTCAATTCTGTTGGTGTAAGGACCACAAGTTAGTTTGAATCACCATTTTAGTTGAAAAATAACAACTTCAATGTGTTTAATAGGTCCTTAAACTTTACAAAGTACCTAATAATTCGTAAATTTTTAGGATTTTTTCTACTAAGTTCTTAAGGGCGTGTTTGGTTGATGATCAGAAAATAGAAATTTAAAAACAAGAGATTCAAGGGAAAACAGGTTTCGACTGTTTTGAGATATGTGTTTGGTAGCAAATTTAAAAATCGAATATCAATTTGAAAACTTGTTGAATTGTATTTAGTAATATATTTGTAAACTAGTTGAAGTTACCAATTAAATATTTAGTTTAATCTAAAATAATAATAATTAATTCATTAACATCTTTGTTATAAAATTTGTAGAATTATTATATTACAGCATTGTATAATTTATAAATATTGTATTTTACATGTTTTAATTTTTTGAAAAAATTAAATGAGTTTATAACATAAATAATATATTTATCAAAGTTTTTTTCAATGTAATTCTATCTTTTAAAGTTTCAAATTAAAAATATGAAAACACTAAAAACATAATGATGTTGTTTTCATAATTTACACTATTTAAATCACAGAATTCGAAAACAGCTTTCAAAATAAATTTGTCAAACATATGTACAGAATCCATTTGATTTAGTAAATCTAAAAAATAATACATATTGCTTTTTTTTTTTTTGGGGAAGGAAGTCCATATTGCTCTCTAAACTCCTTAAACTTTAAAGCGTCGAATAGGTTACAAACTTATTAGATACAACTTTGAGAGCTCAAAGATCTATCATACACTTTGTAAAGTACTGGACTCAATAGACGCAGCTCTAGAATTCAATAGACGCAGCTCTAGAATTTCCAGGACCGAACATATAACATGACCTTGTTTCGATCGTTACTCGATTTTGCTCGCCTTTCGAAATGTTGACAGTCAATGGTCCATGTACAGGGAGGGTCTGGATATGCCAAAAACATCCTGTTTCAAAATGTTGTGATGAAGAATGTGAGCAACCCAATAATCATAGACCAGAACTACTGTGATAAAGAAGGGGAATGTCCAGAACAGGTAAAAGAATTTATGATCAAAATTGCCTTTTTAAATCAAACCACAGAAAATTTAATAGGTTCTTGTTGCTGCTGCTGCTGCTCTCATGGATGCAGGTTTCAGCAGTGAAAGTGAGCAATGTGATGTACAGAAACATAAGAGGAACAAGTGCTTCAGAAGATGCCATAAAATTTGATTGCAGCAAAAGCTTCCCTTGCCAAGGGATTTCTTTGCTTGGAGTTCATTTGGTTGGCCAAGGAGATCAAGTTTCCACAGCTTCCTGTGAGAATGTTAGATTGAAAAATAGATGGAAAGTTTATCCACAGTGCTCCTGAGTTGGACAATTTGGGTTCTTAGGTGGATAGTGTAATTGCATCCCCAAACCCAATGTCTCGCCCTTTTTTTTTTCTTTCCTTTTAGAATATAGCATTATAAACGTAAGAAGTGGAAATTTGAATCTTCGAGTTGAACCAGGGTTAGATTAGGCCTCAATTTTCCAATATAAAACAAGGTTCTTTTTCCTTCTTAAGTTATCCTTTTTATCCCTAAAGAAATTCTATTGAGTGATCTAACGATTGTTGCTCATTACAACAATTGAGATAGTTTATAAAAGATTAAATTTACCTTAACCTATCGACTTAAGCTTTTAGATTGATTGGTGATTTAACACGATATTAGAGCAAGAGATCCTCATTTCCTCCCCGTTTAATATTGATTACCACTTGTTAGTTCTAGTGCAATTTTCAAACCCGTGAATAAGGAGAGGATCACTAAAGTATTTATAAAAAAAATTAACCGTAAACCCATCTGCTTAAACTTTTTAATTGATTGATATTTTAACCAGAACAATTATAATGGTCATGTATGGTCACAGCAATCATGGAGTTCAGGCAACTTTTGAGATTTTAACTTTGATTGCTGAACACCTACCTCGAACCACTATAAACGTTATAAAACCTGATATTGACACAAGGGAGTAAAAGAGATATACTTTTTTCCCCAAAAGAAGATTGGATCAGCAACTAGATTACAGCATCATCCATGATTCATAAACTAGAATCAGTAGATAGAAAGCAGAAGCACTCCCATTAGTCTATTTGCGACAGATCTTGGCAGTTGGATTGGTCACACAAACAGGGGCATAGAATTTCCTCGCCTCTGGACTCCCCGGCTTTGGCTCCGCCGCAGCAACTCCGGTAATGGCGCAAACAGCAGCTGCAGCTGCAGCAAACATCAAATCTCTTCTGCCTTTGCTGCAATCTTTCTCGACAAAATTGACCTTCGTCTTTTCCCCTTGAGAAGCTTCAGTAGAATTTACGACAACTAATCTCCGGTGGGAACTCAACGGATGCTGGTTACGACGGGCCGAAATGCCAAGCATGGCAGAGGTCATGCTGATGGTAGCCATTTGTGCGGTGATAACATAGCTCCTCAGGTTCCTGCCTATATAGTTTTAAAATGTAGATGTATGTGCATGGTGCCTAAAGGACTCTTACATTATCCTATCCCTGTTTTGGACCAACAGAATATTGCCACGTTGCAAAAATATCCTGATAGAAACCAATAACCTAGAGGACCTCAATGGTTGGAAAGAAAATGGCAACCAAAAATCTTGAGACAAGAAAAGAGCAAAAGCCTAAAATAGGATTTTCCACTGATAATTAAGATGAATGACCAGTTTACAGGGGCAAATGCTTAGATTACCCATCAATGACTTTGCAAAGAATAAGTGAATAATGGATTCAAAGACTGGCTCTTCTGTAATACATGGTTTAAACAATGATACAAAATTAAGCCTCTAATACTACCTTTTGCTCTTTATCTTCATATGGAGGAGGCAATAAACTGAGCGTATTGGCAAAAAGATCTTCACGTCCAGGTGGAGGTTCTGCTACTGGAGCATCCAATATGTAATCTGGAACTGCTACGAGTGTTTCCTCGAAAAATGATTTAATCGTCTACAAGGTCCAATAGCGGTTCTCACTTAGAAGCTTATGTAACCAAGAATTTAGAAGGTGGGGATGTTAAAGTAAGGTGCAGGTGAAAAATCTCTAAGTTGGTGGATAAAAACGGTGAAATTTTAATGCCCCAATTTTTATTTTCCAAAATTGGGTAAAACTAAAAGCAAAGTGAAAAATCCATCATGCATTGTTGAGAGGAAGTAGCAAAACATGCTATGCATTCCATCAAAATCCACTAGACGATATAAGAGGAACCTATTCTCTTCTAGAATATTTTACATACCTTGCAGTGCTGAAAAGCGGCATCGGCTTTTCGCTTCCACGGACCATTCCCAGGATCCGAGTAAAAAAGGTGAAGCAATGGCTGCAGGAGATAAGGCGACTTGTAAATAACCACACCAGGTGTTTGGGTGGGGGTGAGGGACGGGGTGCGTTTCACTAGATTCCAGGCAATATTGATTAAGAAAAAAACAGCAACAAAGTTACGAGACATATAAATATGGCCTACTATATTCAATGGTTAAAAAGGTTCTAGATCCGTACGAGGAAATGAGAAGACAAAAATTAGCAGTGAAACAGAGACTTAGCAGCAAAATAAATTGATAATCAAGCATGCTAATCCTACACCTTAACAAACGTAAGTCCTACTCCCTCAGTAGCTCTCGTCCTCCATTATTCCACATATGCCATGAGATAGTGAGAGAGAAGAGTGAAGAGCTCACAAAATAAATAAGAAACAAAGAACAAAGAAAAGGGACCAAAAGTGCTGTAAACCACCAACCAAATCTTACCTTCACAACCTCTCGAATATTTGGTTTATTTCCATATGTACCCAAAACAGAATCCCCATATACTTGATACTGTTCAAGGACCTAGAAGATGGAAATTTTTTTAACTAAATGAGATAGTAGTAAACTTTCCAGCATAAGGATCCATTTCAGACTAAAATTTGCTATTGTACCTGACGACGTGTGATACCACTGCTAGGCGCCCCATAAATTGCAGTGTCTACATGTCCTAAAGTACGCCAAGGGCTGTGGGAGATGAATAACAGTCATCAGTCAAATTAAGGTATATCATAACCAATTGTGATGGGATATTCATAGCAAGATATTATTGGACAATATGAACACTTGCCAGACTAATAACGTAGGTGTGATGATTATTCCACCTACTGTAATAACTTGCTAACAAGTTAATGAAACTATGATACTATAAGTTCTAGCAATTTCTTTTCACTACAATAACTTCACCTTAAACCCTATCTCTAATGGTAAATATAGTCAGATTAAGATAATATAAAAGAATTCTAATAATAAGCATGGACCCCAACCACAACTGTCATAAATTCAGATTCTCTTATACTGTTAGTTCGGAACTAGCTGAAGGAAGCTGCCTATATTTACTTGTAATAAGAGAACAAAAGAGGAAAAAAAGAAAGTAATTCCCAAAGTGAGCATAAACATATGAAAGAAATTTCCAAAATGAGCATAAACATACTTCTGGTAAGCAGCCCGGCCCATCATTACACCATGAGCTCCTAGTTTCAGAGCAGCATTAACCTGTATAAACTCATTTCAAATAAATAAACATTAAACTGCGATGTAACAAATTCAGCAACCGGATGGTGCAAATTATCACGAACAACTCTCATTCCATGCGAAGCAACTCCCAATAAATAAGTTTTGGGTCAATAACTAGTCATGTAAATTAATAATAGTAAAATTGGAATGCAATGCAAGGCATTGAAAAATTAAAGTGTATCCACCGTACTTTTGTGGTATTAATGGAATTATGGAGATCATATAAGGTAAAAAGCTATATATGTTACAGTTTTCCCTTCGACTACTAGGCTAACCCTTATTATGCAGTGATTCCAATATCTACTTTTATGTTCTTCAAGTTTGGGGAAATCCAATTTCTGATACGTTAGGTCCAATTACAGCTGAGTAGAAAAGCTCACCTCATCAACAGAATTAATGCCCCCATTTATTGTGAATCTCAAGTCTGGAAAGTCGCGCATCAGTGCATAGAAATATTCATATCTGTGATAAAACATTAGTATCATACATCATAAAAGTTTGTACTTTTAGTTATTATTCTATATATTATATTAGTTAAAAATGTTATGCGATTCTTAACTGAAATACTTGAACCAAAAATTACAACTTTCACTTTAAGCTTATGGAAAGATATTAAGAACTCGTACTTCAATGGAGGAATACTTCGATTTTCAGCTGGACTGATACCATTGAGCAGTGCCTTGCGGGAATGTATTATGAAATGCCTAGTTGGTGACAAAGAAGAAACTTTGTAAATAAAATCACCTGAAACAAAAGGTACCGGATGTGAGAGGATAAATCAGCAACTAAGAAGCCACATAATGTAACATCAAACTAGAATAACTTTTCAGAAAGAATATTCAAATCTTCAAGGCCTCTTAAGATTGTTATGTACATATCAACAATATATATGTTGACAACTTCAAATTTCAAACACCAGGCATCAACTCAGATATCTTGTGCTTGCAGATAATCGAGCCAAGCAGAATTCAGGATCTAAGGTGGTTTATGATACTCTTCAACTGTAGCCCGAGGGAGTTTCTCCAAAAATGTTCTTCCCCGAGATTCCATAAAAAGAAAGACGGTCACCAGAGAAGGAAAAGAGATGTAAAGATGCGTGGATGATAAAGAGAGGTTTATGGATAAGAAGATAGGGAGAGAAATAGGAAGAGATGAAGGTGTGGCTGGTCTGAGTCTTCTTTTTCTTTTTCTTTTTTCTAGAGGAACTATAACTTTCTGTCATAGTGCCGGAAAAGGAGGAAAAAAAAGGAACAGTGAACCACAGCCTAAGCCTAAGGAACTTACCAAATCTGCTGCAAGAAAGAGAACTTTCACTTTTAAAAAAATTATATCTAGAGTTCTTTAATGAGATAACATTCCCTTTCAGATCTTATATATAACTTGTAAGGCTACCAGTTTGTTCAATTCAATGTGTGGCCAAAGCCACCTTTAAGAACAATGAAGCCAAGTTTCACGCAGGAAAGGACACAAGTTAGCAGCAAACAGTAAAAATTATTGTGAAGATGCTCCACAGTGGAAATAGATAAAGAAACGCTAAATCATAAATCAATAATGCTGATCTTAAGACATCACTAAACTAAGTTTATCTAAGAAAACAAGTAGTAGCCAGTGCTTTCTAACAAGAGGAAAAGGACAAGAAACCTTACAAAGCTCATTATATGAATCATGGTCATCAACGCCAATTCGACATTTCACGCTTACAGGAACATCAGTGTTAGCGGCAATTACTGACATAGCTTCACCAACAAACTTTCCTTGTCAACACCACAAACCTAGGTTAGACAAATTGCTGGAGAAAATAAAATGTGCAAGATGACTGAAATCAAAATATAACCAGCACACAGTCAGAAACCTTAGGATCCAGCATAAGGCGAACACCAAAGCACCCATGTCCAGCCACCTTTGCACTCGGACATCCACAGCTAAAAAATATTTTCAAAAATTACAAAGATAAGAATTTAATAATTTATTGTAGAACCTAAAAGAATGTGAATATGAAAAGTAAAATACACACTTGAAGTTAATTTCATCATAGCCATAAGCATTGGCAAGTTCAGTAGCTTTTGCAATGTTATTCAAATTATTTCCTCCAAGTTGCAGGACAATAGGATGTTGATCTGGAGAAAATGCTAAAAACCTATCCTGTGCAAGATAAGTGAAAGATTACATGAAAAGAATGGTCTTTAAATATATTCATAAGAAAGACGTAGATCGTTAAAGCATGTGTAACTTAAGTATGATCATCAAAAGAAAATGAATTTCTCATATGACTTCAATACCTACCAGATCAAATATTCAAGTTATAAAAGGAAGCAGTAAGATGGTGAAGCTTCTTTAATAACATATAAATGAGAGAGAACTCCACGCCAGTTTGAAAACACCCAACAATTCTTCACTCTCCATCAAATATTAGTCAAAAGTGAGAAGACCCCAGTCCAACGTGTTATAAACAACAAAATCTCAAATAAAGAATGTTAAACGAAGGAAGTTGCATATGTGTCTTACTGCCATTGTTAACAAATTGCCTAAAGCAATACTATATAGTAAATTTGTAAACAATGTAGATAAATTAATTATTCTCCAAAGGAGTCTCCCGCAAACTTACAAGATTATCTTTTTGATAGACAATTGTTTCAGCAGCAAGCATCTCCGTGTACAGCCATGCATGCTTTGATATTAAACGAGCAAGAGTCCGGTAGTGATTATCAGTCCAGTCCATCATAGGAGCAACACTGAGACAGTGAATAAAATCCAATTTCAGTCAACAGATATAAACACTCAAGGAACATGGACAACTATTTTTAAAGTTAAAAACTCACCTAAACCAAGGAGGGGAATAGCGTCTAGCAACCATTTCTGCCTCCGGACCTTGTCGAAGTTTCTGATTACTGGAAGACCAACCACTTGGTTTGGACAAATTCTCCTGCAATATATTGGACGACAGCCTACAATGGCTCTTCTGAATGACAGACTGGATAGGAGTCAACGAAGCTGTAATAGAACATCCAGCAAACTTCATCATCCCTCAAATCATATCACAGTCCGCTCCTCAGAAATTTCTGATCATGAGCAACTTGAGAGGCTTTAAGAGTGGTGAAAAAACCCAAAAAAACAAAAAACAAAAAACAAAACAAAAAAAAAACCAAATATCTGAACCAGAAATTGAGAAGTTCAGTCCAAAAAACCGAACTACTTTGGTTTTAACAAGCACCCTTTACAGGACCAATAATGTAAACCGAGAAATAACAGACATAGACAAAACGGCAGAGGAACGCATTGTTTTTACGCAATTAAGGAAGATGATGGAGCGGTTGAGAACTTCGTAGACACAGTAGCAGAAATGCAAATATGCTTAATTTGCAGGTTTGTTCAAGATGACTATTAGGGTTTACATGTAGAAAGGGCAGCCGAGGCGGGAATTCGACGACCTCCACTTCCGGCGGCCCGCGCTGCGGCTGCGATCAGGCCGACGAAGTTTGCGCGGCGGAGAAGAGATTGGAGGAGAATGTGAGGCGTAGTATTCGGATTTTATGGCCACCCCAAATCCAGCGCCCCTGTTTGGATTCCTCCTCTTTTCTTTTCTTTTTTTCCTTTTTTCTTTTTGTCTTTTTCTTTTCTGCTTCCTTCGTTTTTTTGTTTACTTGATTTCTTTTTTCCCCTCAAAATCTTTGTTTTTTCTTATTGATTTGCTTTCATTTTAATTCCTATATTTAAAGATAAATTTGTGATGAATATCTAAAGTCAATTATCTATGATATATGTACATTTCGAAACATTATTATAATGAGTGATAATTCATTACCATCTTTTCATTTCTATCTAATTTATTTTGATCAAATTTTTACCACGACACTTCATTTATTGGGAGGTAAATATGGCATGTCACGTAGATCGAAGACATTAATCAACAACTGACCTCATGATATCGATATGCGAGTTCAGTGGACGACACTTAGAATCCCAGACATTGTAAAAGCATATTAACTTGTCAAATTCTAACTAAGAATTCGTTAGTATTGAGAAACAATTATAAACTATATAACAACCTTAGTAACAAACTAAGAGTGTCGTAATAGAAAAATTCCTGATAACAAAGTAAATGTGTCATCATTACTGCTTAAAGGTATGCAATTCTATAGTTCACTCCGCATATTCAGATAGTCAGCTTGCCACATATCTCGAACTGTTCAAGAGTAAGCATAAACACCGGTCACTATATTTTTTAAAATGTAGTGATAATTTTGTATCGTGTATAGAACGTTGTGTTGAAATATTGCAAATAAGGATTAAAATAGTCATTTTTTAAAATTATAGTAACAAAAATGAACTAAAGCCAAAAATACACGAAAAAAATAGTATTTAAACATTTTTTACCATACGAGGCAAGAACATCTCAACCTTAACAAAAGGAGTACGTGTCATTTCTAAGTTTTATATTTATTTTATTTCGTACAACAGTCATTTACGCTAAATTATTTCATGTTCAGTTTTTATTAGTTTTTTAGGTGTCATTAAATTAATAGTGAGATTATTTATCATTAACCATATAGTTTGGAAAATTACTTGATTTTTTAGAATTAAGCTTGTTAAATTGTTTTTTATCTACTTTTTAATAAATTATGAAAAAAAAAACAACCGAACAATTTTAAGCGCAAATTTTTTAACGAGAGATAATTTTGAACTCGACCATGGCTCTTTTGGTCGGAGAACTTAAATTGATATGTGTAGTTTATCAAAGTAAAATTCTTAATATTTGTATTTTTTCTATAATATTTGACATTGTTTTTTAATCAATATTTTTATAAATTTAAGTGAAACAATTTTAATCAATTTTAAGGGCAAGAGAAACAAACGGAGCTGGTTTCTCCATTTTTCTCGCAGCTGCCATTGCTGCAAAAACTTGAGCTCGGACCGGAGAGGTAGAGAAGCAAACCAAAAGCCATGAATGCCCCCGACCGATACGAGCGATTCGTCGTCCCAGAGGGGACCAAGAAGTAATTTCCCCAACTCAACCCCTCTCCATTCGGACCAATTTCTCAGTCTCTCTCTCTCTGACGCTTTTTCCCCCCTCTCCAGGGTCTCATACGAGAGAGACACGAAGATCATAAACGCTGCGTCGTTTACCATCGAAAGAGAGGAACACACCATCGGGAACATCCTGCGCATGTACTGCCCTTTTGAAGATTTGGTAATTTTAAGTTCAAATTTTCATCAAGATGATATTGGGGTTTTTTTTTTTTTTTTTGATGAGCAGGCAGTTACATAGAGACGAAAATGTGCTGTTTGCTGGATACAAGCTTCCTCACCCGTTGAAGTATAAAATCATTATCCGGGTCAGTTGATTTTCCTCTTGTTTTGGGGTTTAGGATCCCGGATTAGGGTTTATGAGAGCTTTGAACTAGTGGGTCTAAATTAAGCTTTTGAAAATTTGGTTGTGATTTAATATATATAGTGTTGAATGCTTGTGTTCAAATTGTGCAATCTTATGTCCTCTCAGGCTAATCTCGTGCTAGGGGCAAGAAGGAGGCAATAGTCCCCTTTGATTTGTCTCCTTGAAATTTTCGAGTTTAGAGTTTAGAGATTATATATATGAAAAGTTGGTAGATTAAAGTTAGAAATGGAATAGTCTTGGTTCTGTTGCCCATTGGATTGTAGAATGAACCGAACTTTGTTAGGACTGCCATTGGAATAGTTTGAAATATTATTAGATTATTAAAGGTATATTAGTGATTAGCAACTGAGTTTTTAATAGAAGTTGATTGTAAATAGAGTGAGTGGGAGGGAGGAAGGTAGATAATAGAATAGTTTAGTTTAGTTGGTTTAGGCTTGGATGAAAATACTCGAGAGGAAAGGTTCCAAGTACCTCAAATACGCAAGGATTCTTCGTCTTTCTTTACCTTTTATATTTCAATATCATTTCAGTTCTTTGGTTTCTATGAAACTTTTGGCATACGAACTTCCTGTTTGAGGGAGATGAGGATATCTGTTTATGAAAGGCCATGATTTAGCGGTATTTCAGCAGATTTTGCTCGCTTGTAGTGAAGTTCTTAAATTCCATTGACTGCCAAATATGCTAGTGGTGCAAAGATGCAATTTAAGTGTCTTGAGTTATAGAGATGGTCTTTACACGTTTCTGGAATCATTGGAATATTAAAAGATGGAAATCAAGATATTCAAAGTTAATCAACTTTTGGGTTTTTGATCATTCTTACTAATCTTACAGTTTTGTGCTAGTTTATTACTTATAATCTTCATATAAAAATTGTTTGGTATTTATATTAGTCTTTCTGGACATTACCTATAGATGGTATTGATCTGTCTGTGTCGAAAGCGACAAAGGAACCTGAAATTATATACGAACCATCCTTTTCGAATGTTTTTCACTCAAAGTATCCTTCAAGAAAGGAAATAAGAGCATGAGTATAATTTGTCTAATCCTTCCTTATGTTTGATGGGGTGCCTTGTGTATACTTAGAATAGTATATCAATGATCCTAGCCAGTTTCTTACCTCTTCAAGCATATAAATGAGCCTTTATGTTCTTGGATCAAACTTGGAAATTTGTTTTACTTAACACTGGTCTTATCGATATTTTAGTATGAAAAGTGCACTTGTATACAGTACACTGGAACTGAAAGTTGTATCTGTATAATGTGTTTTTGGAAAAATTTATCTTCAAAATCCAATGAATGAATTATTTTCTCTGTACCCATCATGTATCTTTTTCTTGTTGTGTTGGTATGTATATATTTCGGTTTCTCTTCCGTGAATTAAATTTTATTGTTCTTCAGATCCATACTACTAGCCAATCGTCGCCAATGCAAGCATATAATCAAGCCATTAATGACCTGGACAAGGAGCTTGATCATTTGAAAAATGCATTTGAGGTTTGAATTCGCTACTAGCTCTCTAAACTTAGATTTCGAGATATGAAATGCTATGTTTAACTATTTCTCAGTGAAAAGTAAAGTGGGGTTGATTGATAGTTAATTAAGAGGGAATGAGTTCAAATTTCATGATAGCCACCTACCTTAGGAATTAGTAATTCTTATGTGTTTTCTGGCAGCAAATGTTGTAGGGTCATGCGGTTGTCCCATGAGATTAGTCAAGGTGCGCGTAAGCTAGCTCGGACACTCACGGATATAAAAAAAATGGTTGATTGATAGTAAATCTAATAGAGGTTACAAGTCATACTAAGGTTATGGAAATTGAGGTATCACATTTTCTTTTCCTTTTTGATGAGTTAGGAGAGGGTATTGAGAGATAGGACCACCATACTCTGTTAGATGTGAGTGGCCCGAATTCTTTATGGTTCGACTTCGACCCAATATGAGAAACTTTTTATGGTTACTACCTACGTAGAATTTAATATCCCATGAATTTTCTTAGCAACCAAATCTATTAGGGATCAGATGGTTGTCCAATGATATTAATTGAGACGTACGTAAGTTGGTCCAGACTTGATTTAAAAAAAAGGAAGAAAAGGAAGAAGAAAAATTGAGGACTATGATGATGATATTGGAGTGATCAGGTTACTCAAATCTCAATTTTGAGTCATAGAATAATTTTACAAACATGATATTTGGATTCTCATTCCTCGAAACCTCATCATGCTTTTTATCAATGGGCCAAAGTTAGTAAAAACTTTGTCATTTGGATTAAAGATGGCTACTGAAGTTACTTTTACATTCAAAATTACGAGATTATAAACAATCGTAAAATAGCCTTTAACCACTGTAAATCTCCCATCCCGACAACTTGTCATTAGAGAAACCAAAAGTCGAACCAAAACCCGATTTAGAATGCCTGGTTGTGGCTGCAAATTTTCAGACTTTTCCAACTTTGGAGGCATGGTCCTGAAACTTCTTTCTTGCAGGCTGAGATCGCAAAGTTCTCAAGGGACTACTGATTTTGGCTTTGAAAAAACTTGGTGGATATCCGTTCAAGATGCAGAGACTCGACAAAGGGGTTACTGACATGAAATAGATTTCCAAGAACTTTGCCTTTTGTTTTCTTTAAGGTAGCTGAAAAAATGTTGTAACTCTGAATACGTACGTTCGTCTCTGAATTTTGAGGTTTGTATCCATCGTTAATAGACTTCAAAAAACAGTTTATTTTGACCTGTGTACCTTTAAAAGACATATTTTGAGTAGTTTTTAGCATTAAAGATCCATTTGATAATGTTTCAGGTTTGTTATTTCTAATTTTCACCTTTGGAAAAATATTAGAGTTGGTTAACTATTTCCATTTCTAGTTTTTTATTCTTAAGAAACATTTTTAGAATTGTGTAGAATTTTTAACAAAATTGAGATTCTTGTTGTTGTTGTTTTTTTTCTTTTTAATGTTTCTTGTTTTTTTTTCTTCAAACCATAAATAAAAAGTATTTTTTTTTGACTAATAAAATGTTAGAAATATTAAAATATAAATATAACATATAAAAAATAAATATTTAATTTCCGAGCCCAATGTTTACTAAAAAAAATTGAGTATGTAATTTAAAAAATAATAATTTTTATATACAAATTTAACTTTTTTTATTTTAAAACTTTAGAGAAGGACAGATTTTATTTCTTTTTGCCTTATTTAATAAATACATCATAGATTGGTTTCACACAATCTCATGCATTTGGTAGGATGAGCATTTTTTTTAGTACAACACTCATTTATAAGTAAATAAACATAATCTTAAAAGTTTCGAGTAAATATAGTTCAGTAATGATGGACACATGTTCATTTCTTTATGTCGGAAGTTCGAACTCTCATACTTCTAATTTGTTATATTAAAAAAAATAATAAAATCTTATAAATTAAGAGTCAATGAGTATAGTATAATTGACACATGTTCATTTATTTAAGGTTAGAAGTTAGAACTCTCGTGCTTCAAATTTGATATATTAACAAATAAAAAAAAATCTTGAAAGTTACGAGTTTGCCCTTACAATTTAACCAAATATATAAGTAAAAGAAAATCACGTGAAGTGTTGAATTTGAAAACGAAAAGATGAAGGAAAGCTTGTGTGTATATTTATTATTACTTTTGC